GGTCGAGTCACCTTAAAGTTTTTTTTTCCTTGATCTACTCAGCGAATTTTAAGAACAGGTACCTATTCTGGTACACATTCCTTTGAGTGGTAGCTCTTCTTGATGCGTCGAAATATATAAAGGTAAACACTATAAACCAGGAGCAACAACAATAGAGCCGCTAAACATGTTGATAAATGCATTGCAAAAATGCATACGAACTGCTAAAAACTGTGATATGAATAAATTTATTGCCTAATCTCTTTGTAGGTGAAGCCATCCTCCAAATTTAATCCGTGTTTTACACCAGTAGATGAAGTAGCCAATATGCTAAATGGCCTTATCGCGGTAAAGGACTGTAAGTTGGATGAATATTTAAGAAAAGGTGAAATCAGCCAGGCTTCACAGCTTGCATTAACTGTCTTGAAGACAGCTAATGAGACGCCAGATTGTGGAAAAGGCTTAAGCATAGAAGTAAAAACTTCGGTAGGTAACATAATGGTACTGATAAAGGTTTTTACCTTTTAAGTAGGATGAAGGATGTCACTGGGCGCAATTATTCTATGCATCACGATGAGGCCTGAGAAATTTGAGAATTGAAAATGGTTATTAGCAGCTCTGATTTAAGCAGTGTAACTGGGCAGTAAGAGTCATCGTGAGCGACACGCCCTCCGATGTGGACTCTACTCAGTCCCTTCTAACGATGTTGATAGATGGCTTTAGTAGCATTTTGCTTTCATGTTGAAGTAGTATAACAGCCACGGGATGTTTTACTCTTTTTTTTGCCAAGGAAACTCATTAAATTACAGCAGAAATCCCTTATGAGTTTCTGCTTACGGGGAATGCAAAATTGCTTTGGAATCACATTAAGATAAGGTCATGTGTTATTTTTAGGTGGCTTAACCAGTTTGACAGGTTTTTTTCACTACAAACCACGACTGTACAATTTTTTTGTAGTGTTCTCTGGATATAGTGTTTTTTCCCTACCTCTGGGAGGTCGGCCATTAAGAAGGTCATAAAGTGAACCTTGAAATGAGGGCCTCAGTTCGTCTAGGAGCTGATGTTCTAGCTAGGAGAGCCATTGTCATTTAACTACTAGCTAGACGCCTCTAAGTCAGCATAGGTTTTTATCCTTCGCATGATCGTGCCTTTTAATATTAGACTTGATTCAAAAGCATATCAAGAACGCGTATAAGTATTTTCCAGAGGCCACTCCTCGCAATAAAAAGGTACAAAAAGGTAAAGCAACCAGATTTTACGCCGATAACTCGTGACGGTAATAACTGATAAACTTGAGGTCGACGGTGCGCTCATTTTACCCCCCTCTCTCCATCAATGCTCCAATCTAAGGGTATTTAAAGCTAATCAAAGCTACACAGAAAGGGGAGAAGTTGAACAATGATGTGATGTCACCGGGAATCGAACTCAGGAGCTCTCGCACCGAGGGCCGCGCACTAACCAACTGTGCCACCCTTGCTCCTAATGCAATGCACTGCAGGAGGTGAACCTTGTGCCACTTCTCTGTTTCATGCGTCAAGAGGGTTACTTGGGTAGTCAAAAATAAACTCTCTTATATGCACCGCGCTTGTAAAATTTATTGAGGCACTTTTTAATTGACATTAACATGTTATCTCGTCGAATATTAACTTTATGTAATGCTTTTGAACGCTACCAGATTTCGACCACATTAGTGGAGAAATTCACAGCAATAAACCCAGAGACCCTGCAAATGTCTCGAACGATTATGGCGGTAGTCAAAGTGGCGACTGGAGAACAAGGAGAGCAAACATGCGATAACTGCATTGACGCCATGGTAACCAGCACATTACTTAAGTAATAAGACTAATAATACTATTTACTATTGCTTGACGGTCCATAAGAAATGGTTTCGTACAAGTTATGAATTCAGAGCTTTAAGTAAGTGGGGGGCCGGCTCATCCAGTCCCCCAAGTAAGGGGGTGGGGGCTTCCCCCATGACCCCCTTGATCCGCCATTGCATATTAATACTGAAAATGCATCGGCCTCCCAACTGTAAATAAAGTGAAATTGAACCCCATTTTGAAGAGGATATCTCTTCTGCTCGGAAACGTTTAAACGCCGATCCTAAAATCTGGAGACACCAAAAGATCACAATTAGAAATTATCTCCCAAGTAAATTAGTCTTGCATTAATATACATGCTTCGTAGTGCAGATTAAGTAAATAATATTGTTTAAACTAATCAGAATCGTACAAAAAATTACATTTTGTTGTAGGGTGATAAACTCGAAAATCAATTACTTTTTGTAATAATTATACCAATAGTCTGTGGTATTATTTATTCCTGGACCGATTTGCAAAGAATATTTTATTATAAGTAGAAAACATTGAACACTTTCTAATCATAAATTAAGGGTTTATCGCTGCAGAAGTGTATCCTTAGATCCCGCATCCTGTCAGTTTAATCCAGCTCCTTTTAAAGGTTGAGTTTTACTTCTTTGTCTTTCTGAACCAACAACGTGGCAGAATCAACAGGGGTCTTTTTTGCATGAGCATGCGCGACCACTGAACAAGCGACGTGCATGGAGGCTCATAACAGGGTCTGCCTTCATCAAAATGGCGCGTCTCAAAGCTATCATCGCGATTAGTTCGCTCGTTGGTCTTGGCGAATGTGCTCGTGATTTAACAAAATGTGTAGTTTGCAAAAAAAAAAAAAAAAAAAACTCTAAAATGGTCTCCACAAAAGCAAAGTTAACCGGCTTTAACATCCCCCGGGC